TTACGGAAGTGGATGCCACAACTGCTTCCAACCTTGTTTTAATTGGGGAGCTCCACCAAACACTGTCCGCTATGGGTAACCATTATTAGCACATTTGACACATCAGTGTCAGTGTTCAGCCTCACAGCAACCACGCGTTACTGCTGTATGGCAAGTGGACACACCAGGGCTATATGACCTAGAAGAAAGTTTGAACAAAAACAATGAAAGACAGGCCTGAGGGTCGTGGATTAGAAGTCACCACCTTTGGCTTGGTAGCATCACTTTCTTTCCACCAGGCGAACTGATCTCTATGTTGGTGTTATTTTTGTTAAGTGCTGTCCAGTCATAGGTGACTCAGTGACCCTGTGAACGAAAAGTCCTCAACACTTGTGTGGAATGCTCAGGTGCCTGTGGCTTTCTTTTTGCCACAAGTGGGTGTTGGCAGAGCGGACTTGCCAGATGAACTGGGAGTCCCTAGCCCAGAGATTGCCAGCATTTGGGCATGCCAGAATGGTAAAATTCAGCAATGTTGGGCCATGCCTGCAGGGTAAGGACATGTGTCTTGGGAGTCTTAGTGTCAGCTGGAGGGACCTCTGGCTTCTGGAAGACAGGCCAGGATGGAACGCTGGGGCACGTGACTCTTTTTGCCACAAGTAGGTGTCAGCAGAGCAGACTTGCATTAGTTATTTAGTACCAAAAAATTCTTCCTCCCTTTTTGCATATCATATAGCAGGAGTATGTAGGACTCTGTACCTTAACCTCAACACTGCTGAACACATTGCTGTCAGTGTCTAGTTAGGATAGGGAAACAATATAATAAACTGGAAAAGTGTAAAGAATTACTGACTTTAATATGGAACCAGACTGGTGGCATACTTAGGGGAGTGACTGGGCTCACCTGGAGGCCTCACCTCTCTGGTGGCTGAAATCTACCAGCAGGGCAATCTCCCGTATGATTTACAGCCTCAGAAACCCACTTAAAGAGTCAGCTATGGCATGGTTCTAACTCCACAGCAGTAACTTTGATTTTTGAGTTAAAAAACCTTCGAACTCATTGGGAATAACTCCTAGCTATCTTCTCCAGCGAGTTTCTTAGGGAAGTTAACAGGTTATAACTCAGGTTGGCATCAGGATACAATTTGTCAGTACAGCTTCTGAAGCTGCTCATAGACCCTTCAAACTTGCAGCTTTAGGGATGTTGTCTTAAACCTGCTAATTAAAACATGTCCCCTGCCCCTCACCCTCTCCTCTGGCAAGCTTGGGCAAAGGTCCTGGCTCCAGCTCCTTGGGCAGAGTCCCCAGTCAGCTCAGTCTCCGGTTCTCTGATGTGGCCGCTGCTGTACTCCAGTACACTGGGTCTGAGCAGTGCAGGAATTTCTGGCCTCAGAGGACACTGAATTCTCTGCTTCTTTCTCGTTGGTGAGTGAGATCCCTAAATTTCTGCTGCTGAACCTGCTCAATTTAAACCTGGTGGAAGAATGGTGAAACTAGCTAATTCTTTGTGAACAGACTGTTATTATGTACCATTGAGTCGGAAATGATTCACAGCTGACCTTCCAGTGGATTTCTGGAGACAGTTAATCACATGGGAGATGACTGTCATCTCTCTCTTGTAGAGCAGCTGGTGGTGTGACCCAGGGGCTTGGAGTTGGCAGTGCAACTCCTTTCCACTAAGCTGCCAAGAGCTCCCCTGTGGGTTGACAGCCACATCTTACTTGCATGTTCCTGCCCGGCTATGGGGCAAAGTCAATGACAATGGCCCAGGAAGAGGTATTTTGAACAAGGGACCCACTATCCCAACACCAACATACAAGGCGCTATACCACCAGCGTTCCTTAGTCATTGGATGCTGTTGTTGATAGGTACTGTTGTGTCAGCGCTGACCCCCAGCAGGTTTTCAGAGGCACAGGAGATTGCCCATCTCTCTCTGGTGGAGCAAATGGTGGATGTGAGCCACGATATCTATGTGTAGGCAACACAATTCCTTACCACTCAGCCACCAGAATCTACAGTGTTTAAGTTTCTGAATAGCTAAGACAAGAGGTAGGCAAAACTCCATTTTGTTGGGTGTGTAAGAGAACTTTAAAATTGAGGCGTATTAAAAAAATGGCTTGTTCTACCTTGAAAAGCCCACGAATCACTTTTACCACTGTAAAAAAACCCCAAAACCTGAACACAAAAAAGATCTTTTAGACCTGACACTGTTGTTATCACTGCGTGAATATTCTATCCCTTGTCAAACTTTCCCTCGACTTTCAGCATGTAGCTTCATCAGTCTTCTCTGTGTCCCCACTGTTCTTACAAACAGTAATGCCTTCTTTGGAGCTGTCTCCATTTGGAGGCTGAATGAGGGAAAGGCTGACCCCGATGCCAGGCTGTCCTCCTTCACGCTGGACACTCACTAGGGACTGGATGGCAGAAGTGTCACAGGCCTCAGGGGACTGAGAAGTGCAGACAAATAGTTAGGCCTGGAAGGCCCATCACTGGTAAGCTGCTTATGTCCACTGGTGAACAGGAACACTTTTATGTGGTAAGAAGACAGGAGGCAGCCCCAAAGCAATTCACTAGTCAGATATAATTGCCATCCTGTGCTCTTCTACCCACTTCCAGACTCCTAACACTTAGGTTTGAGCCTGTAACCTGGCTAAAAGTGGGTAGATGTCCGAACAATGAAAGATAGAGGACTATAGAGATGTGAACATGCACGGAGTTGGTGGAGGGAATTGTGAGAGGTCTCACTGATCCCTCTCTCTCTCTCTAATGTGTATCATTTACTGTGAGTTGGCACAGCAGCTAAGCAGCCACGCAGGGTCAGAGCAATGTCCAGCCACTCCCCTTTCTTTCATTTCTCTTTCAGTGTGGGGCCTTGCTGAATCTCCCTAAAGGCAGAATACTTTTTCTCCCCAAGTTTTTGCTTTCAAGTCTACATCTGTACTCCTGTGTTCCAAAGTCCAGGGAGCCCATTTCATTTTCTTACAGAGAGGAACTCAACCACTTATTGAGTAAAGATGGCTCAAAAGCCACCATATTAAAAACAGAGGGTACATCCCACATGAAAAAGTAATACTTGAGAGGTATGCATTTGTTAGCTACTCTGAAGAAGAGGCAAAGTACTGTGAAGTGGGTGAACTCTGGATGAAATTCCACAGGAACAAGAGGGTAAACCTCACTCATCCAAGCAGCTTATTCCCTTGGAACTGACTCCGCAGACCCTGCACTTGTTTCCAGGGCTGTCAATCATATGACAGAGTGTCGTGTAAACTGCTAGAGGTTTGCCCTTTGGGTATGCAGTGCAACTTCTCAGTCTTCCGAAATAAAGGCACATGAGGGGCCCTGATGTTAAGACAACCAACAGAACAGGGCTTTGCATGGGGTAGTTCTTAAAATCCAACCCATGGCTGTTGAGCTGGTTCCTCTTCTTTGGGTTTCCAATGCTGTCAGTGTGGGAAGAGCCTGTCCATCTCTCTTAATTTGCAACTGCCAAGCTTTTGGTCAGCAAACCCATGTAATGCACATCACCAGACCTCCCTAATAGGAGGTGGCCTACTGCCCACCTGTACCTTCTTCACTTCAGCAGCATTGAGGATTGTGACAAAATTGAGTCAACCTTACTAAAAATTAAAAAATACCCCTCTCCATTCTCCCACCCGAGGCTATAGACATCTTAACTGTCAGGAAGGTAGGTTCTAGTCTCCAACCCCACCTGGTCTTTCCCTTGAGTTTTCCAACTGGCCCCACAAATCCCAAAGCCAAGTAATTAAGTAGCATAGATCACACAGGATTTAAGCCCTGATTATCTCAATTTAAATTTCCCTCCTGGTTCCAGGATTAGGAGTTAGGGAGCTAAATGGGAATTTCCTTCGGTTTGGAAAGAAGAAAGGTAAGGTTCTTGTCTTAAATAGCACAAGGAAAAAGCCTGCGCCAGAGATGGAGGCTGTGACCCAACACTGTCCTCCTTGCTTCCTGTGAGCCAGAAAGGTCCACTGCTTTGCTGGGAGAGGAAAAAGGGAGTTCACGGGGTAGTTGCTGCTATCCTTTATGGTGAGACAATGTGTCTAAAATCTGAGCAGACACCTAACCTAGTATCTCTTTCATTTGCTTTTTTTTCCAATTTATTTTTTTTATCTTTTTTCTATTTTTTTAAAATTTTTTTTTCATTTGCTTTTAAACAATCCTTCACTCTTTCTGCTCCAAAGCACACAGACTATACAATTTTTATACAACCAGCAAAAAGAAAAGGACTTTCAACAGTTTATCAAGACACTGTGAACATGGCCATGTAATTTAAAAAACTTGACAGAATCTTGGTTGGATTTGAGAGAATGTTTTCTTGTCATGATGAACATTAAGAGTAACCAGAAATTGGACAGTTGCCAAAATACAGCTGAGCTTAAACCTTCAAGGGACATAAAAGTCAAACAAACCAAATGAGTGGTACTCATTACAGACTCTGTAGCAAAACAAGAATAGCCGTTTCACCCAAGTGTCTTCTGACAGCTCCCATCAACTCTCTATTCCCTGCCCTTCTGAAGCATCTTAGTATGAAAGATGTAAGCTAACCCAATAATAACCCTTAGACATGATAAAAAGCAATAATAAGTTTCTCTCAGTTGAGGGCTTAAATACATAATGGTTGCTATCTATGACTCTCATGCACAGAAACTTTAACCAAATCAGAGCTGCTAATACTATTATGTGGACCTAAAAATCAATGTCTCATATTTACCATATTAGATTTCCAAAAGGCCATTAGAGAGGCTGTAGAACCAAACTTTATTTTGGAAACTAGACAATATGGAGGGTAACTGACTGCAAAATGTACCCCTCCCAATGGTTCTTTCTGGGATCTCTTTTTGGGGTGCAGAAATGAACATAGGAAATGTTAGAAAGTCAGAACACAGGGCAGATGAGGTGAGACAGAGGATGTTCTAGCCACAAGGCCAACAAACACATCCATGTTCAAAGAGAAGTCTGGGTGGGGGAAAAAAAAAACACAAAAAAACTATACAAAAGCAAACCAAAGGAGAAAGAATTTCATAAAACACAGTATCAAAAACAAAAACAAACCCACACTAAATGCAAACTGGTGGCAATTAAGTCCATAACATACTGCGACCGACCGTCCTTCCAGCATCAATTAGGTTTCTTCTCATCAGTTATATCAAGGTTATTTACAGATGTGGCAACTTCAGTAACAGTCTCTCACGGGAGTGTAAACAGGTTCAATCATTGGTTTCAGGATCTGTCTGTGCCATGTAGGCATCCAACTCGGCATCCAAGTGTCCCTTTGTTTTGGACATGTAGGCATCCAACTGGTTGTCGAGCTGCTCCTTGGTGAGTACAGGGCGAGAAAGGGCACCTCTCCCTCGTCCACGGCCTCGTCCACGGCCTCCAAAGCCCCCTCTTCCCCGACCTATCATACCCCGACCTGGTCCAAGGGGGGGAAAAAAAAAACCAACACACCAGTTATAAGCAGGTTTACTAGGTGGTATGGTAAATGCCCCTCCGAATAGTGGGGCCTAACTGAGAAAGGCTGAAGGGTAGGGCACAGAGGAAACAGAAAAATAGCAAACACACTGGGTAAAAAGCAACACATGGAAAGCACACATAATGAATCCCTTATTACATGCTTATCTCTATATGAAAAAAATTTACCAATTAACTATGGGAAAATAATTAAAAATTACAGTGGAAAAATCATAATAACTTCTTATACAAAGAAATTACATAAAGTCTAGACCCACAAATTGATATTTAAAACACAACATTAGAGGAAGTAACAAGGGCACAAAGAATCAGGGGTGTGAAGCTAGTTTTCAGACCAGGCTTTATTGGAAATCCGTTTGAAAAGTTAGCTCCTCTCTCCTCAAACTTCCCTAGCACAGTAAGCTGACCTTTCATCAACAGACTGAAGAGGTTTTTAACACCAGAACAATGTGGGGAGATGGGAAAATATTTTGAGTGGTTCTAGTTACTTCTACATCTGATTTGCGCCACCTTATGACTGTATGATTGTCTCAGAAACAGTTTCAATTTAGTTAACAAAACCTAAGTTTTCTGAAAAGTTACTTTATCTCCCATACCTTTTGTGATGTCTTAGAAACCAAATGAAAAATAATTTGGAAACATGCAATTTCATCCTAAAACCTAAACTAAGTTTGCACTTCACTCAATCAAGTCCTGTTATCAAATTTCCTAAGTCAGTATACTCTATGACAACTTCAAGATCATAAATATGGAAGACTCACCACATACCTTAAAAGGATGAAATAAGCATAGCTGCTAAAATAACAGAACCTTTCCTTCCCTGACAGGTATGGTTGGGAGTTTTTCCACTAGGCTGTAAGCCAGAAAGCTCCCATGAAATTTGGCACTAATAAAAACACCATTAAGCAGTAATAATGTCGCAATTAAGTCAAAAGACAAACATCAATTAAGTCTAAGAGGGAAGATGATGCCACTTTGATCTTTTATTAAAAAAAGATTGAATCAAGTCTTTGGTTCCCTACAGGCACAGAATTTACTCTGAACTTAGTTGGTGTTAGAGCCAATGCTCAGCTCTTAAGTTTCATCATCCTCTTTCTCTACTTCACATTTGTTATGTTTTTCCTCTTCTCTATTCTTATTTGATCACTGGGATTGGAGTTACATGGTGTGTGTTTGTAATGGAGCAGGGCAAAGAAAGGTAAAGCTCCAACTTAACCATTTTATCATTTTACAAATATACTTCATATTTGCAAGAGCCTGGGGGACAACTGTACACAATCTGGCTCTGTATTAAATATTTGATTGGTTCTTGGGAAAACCATGAGATTATTACACTAGTAGCATGTGTAATTTACAAAATAAGCCAGTTTCAAAACAAAACAAGACACACAAATAGGCCTGTCTAGAATTTGAAGCTGTGCAGAAAGGTGGCTCTGAGTTTTTGAGGGAGGGAAATAGGGGGAGCTACTCTCTGAAGTTGGTAGCTGACTAACCTCTACCACCGAGTCCGCCACGACCCATAGCTCCACGCCCTAGGCCCCCTCTCCCAGGACCTCCACGACCTCGGACACCACCTCTTCTTAAGCCCATTCGGGGAGCTACGGCTCGTCCACCTCGGAGCAGGTTTTGACCTTGGAGAGGAGGCATACAATGTATAGGCAGGTAAATCCAAAAGAGACAAAGTAGATTCTAACCAAAGGAAGGCAGTGAGGGTTAAATGAGAGTAATCTGGTTAATTTTTAGGTTGGGTGGGGCAAATTGAACACTGTGAACAGATTATGCTGCTCTTTATTCAGTCAATTCAACAAGTATAACAAAACCCACTTTCCAAAGATGTGGGATTAAGTTAATTAAGTATATAAATTAGTAAGTAATAAGTATCCATTGAATAATCAGATACCTAGCATTATGGCAGATTTAACGATGTGCTTCCTGCTCTCCATAGGTTCTTGTGGAAAACAAAAACCAAGAGGAAAGAGTATTAATAGTGCCCAGAACATAACATATAGCTAAGTGCTATGACTCAATTTGTCCTATTCTTTTCCAGATCAAAGAGTGTTTTAAGAGTATCAGAAATATGAGAGATAGCTGAGACAGAGGCCAAAAGACCAGAAAATGTCTTAGACTTGACTTATTCCTAGAACTTGAATGTGCTCTGATTCAAGCAGCAGCAGGTGTGTTAAAATGGAATGGAGATGACATGAATTACCTGTTGTTATGCAGGTCATAGCCTCTCACCATTGCACATTATCAGAAAAGGAATGGTATCGATAAAAGACATGCAGCACTATTAAAAATATGTGATTTCAAAAGTTATTAATTATATTAATACAAATTCAGGCTTAAACAAATGTATCCATAAGCAGCCCAAGTGAAAAGGGAAGAGAGTAGGGCTCAATAATTACCAGGTATACAGCACTGACCTCGGAGTGACATCCCGCCCCTAAGCAAGGTTCTTGTCGCTCGTCCTCCACGTAGTCCTCCTCTGGGTAAGCCTCTCTGGATTATCGGCAGGCCTCGTCCTCCGATTGCTCCTCTGGCCAGGGCCCCTATGGGTCGGCCTAACCGTGCCTGGATGTTACTCTTACCCAGGCGCTGCTTTAAGCTCTTCTGGAAGAAAAGGTGTTGGGGGGATTGAGATCAAAAAAGCAATCCAGTTTGATATGGCAACTTAAAGTGCAGAGGAAAAAAGCAGCAAGTGAGATGTCTAGTGTGGAGGGAGATACACTGTCATAAAGATTCCAAACCAGAAGCAAGCCTTTGCCTCGGAACATGTACATAAAAGACAAAATCGGATTCAGAGTAGAAACTCTTTAAACTCGGGAGTATGGTTCCATGAAATCGCATCACTACAAATTACCTCACTACTTTTGGCTACTTATATGATACCAATTGGGACTTTAAGGAAGAACACTCTTATAGTTTGTTCAAATCATGGATTCTGATGTTTTTGAACCAAAGGTTGATACATGGCTTGATTCATACCTGCCCAAGGACTACCACTGTCTTCAAAGGCTTACTCAAACACCATAGAAGTTCATCACACCCAGGGCAAAGTTAAATTACAAGTTCATTTGAGTTCTTGTGACTTTAAGAATAAGATTGATTTCTCAGTCAAAGAGGCCAGGCTGCTCCATTTTTTTTTTCCTCTGAGTATCTATCTCCAGACGGTCCACTTTTTACCTTAAGAGGTAAATAAACACAAAAAGTCAAACTTTCTTTCCTTACATTTCATAAATCCCACATCTACCTTTTTCAAACAGCTTCAACGAGCCAGTATAACAACCTTTAATTAAAAATAACGCAAACGTAACCCTGTACAGAGACAGCCAATCTTATTTGTTAGAATTAAGATGGGTGAGCTATAATCACAAAACTCAGGGCTACATTTGAACAAGTATTTATCAGGGAGGTAAGAGATTTAATAATCTGTCTCTCAAAACAAAGTCAATAAAAATCATCAAATCTTAAAAGAATTCTTTCAATTAAAGGGGGCATTATGGTTTTAAATATCATCATGACACTAGCAAATCTGTTTTCCTATAAAGTCATCAATCAATATGAATGATAATCTAACCCTCACCATGTGACAACCAAGATTTTTCCCCCTTTAATATCCTCCCTAAAATGATGTTCTGAGGCATTATTAGCCCTCTAACACAAGATCACAAAATATTTCTAATTAAGAGGGGTAGGAAAGGCTCTTATATTATTTATCAAGGGCTACCAAACCCAATCATAGGTTCTGTAGTACCAGTTTCTCAACAGCACACAATTGATTATGGGGATAGGATTCTATGTCACATCAAGTACATCTTCCTAATATAGTCAGAGAACCACACAGTGCTTAAAAGTTCCCCTTTCTTCCAGATCTTTAATTTCCAAGTCCTATGAAGCAAGCAGCTTCACTAGTAGAAAGCTTAGATGGGGCAGTCCTGTCACTGCATAAAGTTCTATTGACCAACATTGTTCCAAGAGCTACATCCTGCATATCCTGTATTTTAAGGCTATTTATTGGAAGAGCCTTTAGAAGATATGGTATCTTCAGTTATTTTTGTACATTTACTCTTGGACAATGTGGTGCTTTTTATGATTTTCCTAAGGCAAAGATGAGTCCAGTGACTCCAAAGCTTAAGGTAACAGAAGCAGAGCACCTCATTTATTTTTGGTCAATGAGCCCAATGGCGTGGGGTGGGGGAGGGATGGGAGTGTGTGTTATATTTAACTGTTGAATTTACACACAGCCATGCAGTGCTACCAGCTAAAGTCCTTACAGTTGCATGGCACCGCCCTCCAGACGTCCAGCCACAGCTTGGACATATCCTTCCACAGCCACTGTCCGGACTTGCATATAAAGTCTATGAATGATAAAGAGCAAGTTTAATTCCAGTTCTGAATACAATTATTTCTTACTGGAAGTTTGAAAGAGAATTTCCTAATTCTTAAATTCCTCAGTGCTCTCATGCTACTTTACTGATAAAAGTTCAGGAGCTGTGGGGATGAGTGCACCCTATTCTTTTTTTTTAGCACTGACAATCTGTGACTAAAATTTTCAGACTTTTTAGATTAGAGGATCATGAAAAATAAAATGTCATTAGTTTTGTGAATGAAATCATAGGGTATGAAGGATATTTGGAAGATAATCAGGAACACAAACCAACTTTCATTGTGGAAAAAGTCATAAATCTACTCTGGGAGTGAAAAATTTGAGAATAAAAAAAAAAGATTAACACTTATAGACAATATAGGAACAGGCTACACTGACGGCAAACTCTCCAAGAATCAAAAACAATTAAAAAAAAAAGTTACTTATTAGTACCTGCCAAAGTTGGAATTCTCAGAGCTTCTCTTTGCTGCAGGTATTTCAGTTTTTGCCCTGAGCCACCTTGTAATTATCCACATGTCCTGACAGCCTCAGTAGACTGCCTGACAGATCATCAGCTGCTTCTGGAACATTAAGACTCATTCTCTCACCTGCTTAAGCTTTAATGCTGCCTGGACAGAGGGTCTATTCTCCATCTGCTGGGCCAGTCTTCTGTTTCTGGCACTGGCTAGCTGCTGTTGTTGCTGCATCGAAGCTCGAATATTCACTGGCATCGGCTGTTTGTTCTTCAGCATATTAGTAAAGCTTCAAGGTCGAACAAAATGGATGTTTAAATAAAAGCTTTATTACAAAACATTTATTGGCATTTTCATGGCTTGCTAGACCAGGAGCTCCAGATCCCACGAACTTTAAGTAAAGTGGTACACTTAGATCAAGGCTGATGTGGGTTAAAGACTCCTCTGTTTCCACAAACTTGCAAGAATAAGAAACTTAGAAATGCAGCTAAGTGCAGCACATTCAATCAAAAGTGATAACAAGGGTTCAAGTAACGGCTTTTAGAGAAATAGAAGGTATGAAAAACACGCAATAAGCAGATATGACGACAATGAGACATAGAAGATGTAGTTTCAAAGACAGACAAAAAAAGGCAAAGCTGTAGGAGACCAGAGTGCATTTTAAGGGCAAACATGAAGAAGAAAACAGAGCACCGTCAAAATTCATGGAAATTGTACCAGTTACAACTGAGTTGATTTGACACATGGCAAACCCATGTGTGGCGGAGTAAGGTTTCTTACGGCTTAGTTTTGAGAAATAGATTGCCAGCCAGGCCCTTCTTCTGAAGCGCCTTAGGGAGGACTCAAAACTGCAAGCTCAATTAACAACTAAGTGTATTAACTATTTGCACTAAGTAAAAACTATGGAATCAGTATATTCATACCAACTATAGAAACACATAACATTTTCTTATCTATTTTACTTAATAGCTTCTGGATACTGAGATAGGAAGTGTGTATCATACCAAAGAGGATAGGTAAGCAGCAGACATGCTTCAGAAAAAGCAAAAATAGACATTAAAGTAAGGCTAGTAATCTAACATCAACTTAGTTTACTGACCAACAAAAGGGCCTCAAAGAACAAAGTCTTCAAACAGAAACTACTTTAAATATCTAAACTTTTCTTAGTTTCAAATAATCCCTTTCCCCTACTCCAAATAATTCTGAGAAAGTTAGGTCATTTAAGAGCTTGTGAAAGACAGCCTATTATTCCTGTCAAGGTTTAAATTTAATAGAATGAAGGAAGAATACAACTGTAAAAGAATGCAAAACAAAGACAAACTAAAAGCAGAATGGAAGAAAAGTGAAATGGAGCAAAGCAAGTGCCTCTTACAAGGCCCAAGAATGACATTCAAGGGCCTTTGGACAGATTCACGGCTTGCTACCTGCCTCTTACAGGCCAGACACAATACTGCTGGTCTTGGACTGGGCAGCAAGCCTACTGCAGCCAGGGTACCATGCTACCGTGCTGCACCACCCCTGTATCAATGTAAAAAACGTGAAGAGAGGGAGGGTGTGAGGAGTCTTTTAAAATACATCCCACCAGATAAAGGTTTCACACAGCTTAATATAAAAATCTACTGATAAGGGGTTTTGGAAGAACCGCCCAAATTGTTTTGTGTACCACATAAGATGCAACTAAGAACAGAAGTCTGTAGCCTTCTGTTGATACTTAGTTTAAAACCATGTGGGTTGTTTGGTTTTTTTTTTTTTTGGTGCATTGGACCCCAGGGCCGATTTAAGTTATGTTTTCTTATGAACGAGCTGAAGTTGCTGTTGGCTGCCTCACCGCTCATTTAGAGACATCTTGGTGGTGCTTTTTAGCACAACTTTCGGAGCTGACTGTGCAGCCATCTTCAAATCCCGAGAATCTACAAAACACAGCGGGTAAAAAAAAAACCATGTTGAAATAAAGACCATCTCATATCTCATTTCTGCAAGAGTTAGAACCAACCATAAACTAAAAAAAAAAACAAAACAAAATAAATAAAATTAGTGTAAAAGCCTTTCCAGTAAGGCAGCACACACAGCTGGTGCAGAAGGTCGGGTGTTGAGCAACCAAAAAGGCTGGCAGTTTGAATGCAACAGCTGCTCCTCGGGAAAACACTGGGCTGGAGGGTCTCCCTTCACTAGGATTTAGATTCCAAAACCTAGCAGAGGGTCGTGAGTCGGACTCAAAAAGCAGCGGACTGCGTTCCCCGAGGGCCACGTGAAAAGCCCCGTCACGCGCTTTAGTTTATAAAGCGATCGCCTCCAACTCCTGACATGGACGGCCACCAGGACAACGCCTGTCTGCGGAGATGGTGGGACCGGAGGTTTTTCTTAACTGGCCGCATATGACGTGACATGGGGGCGCTGGGGCTTCAGCCCGAGGCTAACAGAGAAGCTGGCGATTCAACATCTCAGCGGCCTCCGCGCAGACCTCCAAAGTCACAGCCTTGGGGCGGGTGGGGGCCGGCGCCTGGAGCGGGCAGAGTGGCCGCCACGTGCAGCCGGACGCGGGCACCACCCAGGACCCGAGGACGGAGGTCCGCAGCCGGGGCCCCGGAGCCGCTGCGACACCGACGGCTGCCGTCAGACCCCACGGCGGCCACACCCGCTGCCATCGCGCCGATCGCACCCACCGCCACCCTGTCGGGCTGCAACCCCAGCACCCTCAACCTCTGCACCGGGGCTCCTCCCCGCAAAGTGCCATCACCCCGCCAACTTCCTTTCCCGTCCCCCTTACTCCTCCAGGCCGCCATCAGCTTCCAGTTCCTTCCCTCCTCATCCTCCTCCCAGGCTCCGCCCCTCCGAGGACCACCCCGCCGCAGCACCCCCGCTTCCGCGACCACCCGCCCCATCCACCGCCCACGGCTGTCCCTCTGCAAACTCACCAAAGGAAACGGACGCCAGTGCTTCTCCCGTGGCTGCCACCACGGCTGCGGCAGGCGGGCCGGGGCCCGGCCGAACCCAAGTTCACGGTGCGGGGGAGGCTCGGGGTGATCTGGTGGGCGGTTGGTGAGATGCGTAAGCGATAAACGGCTAGGCTTGTTCAGTTTCTGTTGGCTCTTTTGTCTGGTCAGTCCGCTTGTTCACCCAGCCTGCCCTTTGCTTCCTTTCGGACACGACAGCTGCCGCCGACACCGCCACCTCCCGCTCGATGGCCAAAACAAAATGGCGGCCACGCCCAATGCGGAGTGGGGCCGGCTAAGATGGCGTCGGCGCGATTGCATCAGACGTCAGAGCACGCAGCGAGGGGGCGGGGAGCCGCGGTGCCGGTTTACTCCAAGATCGGGGGCGGGGCCCCGAGAGGGGCTGGGTCCCGAGGGGGAGGCGGGGCTTTAGGGAAGGACCGGTTGGCCTGACACGGAGGGCTCGGCCCACCAAAGCGCATGCGCAATAGCCTGATCCGAGATTTCGTGAAGGTGCCTCATGGACCGGGCAGTTTTGGTCTTGTAATCTCCTAAAACCATTTCTGATTGGTATTGCTGAGAGCCGAGTCAGTCACCATGAAAACAGTGTTCATATTCCCTTATTCATCCCTCCGTCAGCTAAGTTGTTGAGACTACAGACTCGTAAAGACTGCACACAACAGATCAGAACCTTTAACCAGGGCCTTCCTCTCTGCCGTGCTCAAGGGCGTTATAGTCACTGTGTCAACCATCTCCTCCAAGTTCTTCCCCTCTTTCACTTATCTCTCCAAGCATGAGCTAAGCCAAAGTGGTGACAGTGTGTACTGTGGAGTCAGAACCGACTCATAGCCGACCCTCCAGTGGGTTTTCAGAGGCAGTAAATCACACAGGAGAATGCCCATCTTTCACTGAAACAGCTAGTGGATTCCGACCGTGGACCACTGTGTTGGCATCACACAGTGTAACAATAAATAAAAAACAAACAACACACCAAACTTGGGCTTTTATCCCGTCTCTTTCGGATGACCAAGGGGGCAATATCTCTTATTTAATTTCGTTTTCTTTATTAAAGCAGTGAGATGTGTGGGAAGGCCCGCGTTGGGCCTTTACCGGATCCTGAGCCATTTGTCACCACGCTAACCTCTCCATTTTCCTTACTTGATCCCTATTTGAGGAAGGACTTTGCGTCTCTGCTCACCCTTGCATGTCCTCCCTCTTCACCTACCATCTATATGGATTTTGACAGAGGCACTTGATTTATGCCCAGACACACAATTAAGTGCGCAACTGTTTGAGAAATTAATGGATGAGGCCATTTTCAACCCCTCCTACCACTTTGTGTCTGTATTTTAATGGTCCTATGTCCCTTCTGGATTTGAGCCAGATACGGGGTAAGGATGTTGTTTTTTTCCTTCCCCCCCCGCCCCCCCCCATACCCTCAATTTCTATACACTGTCTAGGACATGGTATCTGTTACTAGTTGACACAGAGTTGATTTCTGACTCATACTTACTTAACCATATGTGTCAGAGTAGATCTATGTTCGGTAGGGCGTTCAGTGACTAAGTTTTTGGAAGCAGATCACTAGTATTTTCTTTTGAGGAAACTCTTGTTGGAATCTAATTTCCATCCTTTCTGTTGGTAGGAAAATGCATTAGCTTTTGCATCACCTATTGTTACGTGCTGTCAAGTCACCTGCACCTCTATGTTTTACAGCTCTGAAGCCTGCCCTATCCTGAGTCAGTTCTGACTTGACAATACTCAACAACATCAAGACCTCAGTCAATATTGTTGAATGGAGATATTTTTTTTGTCCGAAATTTCAATGTCTCCTTCATTGACAGCTGGAACCCTGACCCCCCCCCCCCAATTTTAAACATCCTTCAAGGTGTTGTTCTGTACCATGGAGTTGGAACCAACTCATAGCAGACCTTCCTGAAAGTTTTCAGAAGCTGTTAACCACCTGGGAGGAACTATTCCCTCTTTCTCCTGTGGAGCAGCTGATGGATTCAAACTGCCTTTTAGGTTGGCAGCACAACGCATTACCACTAAACCATCAAAGCACCCTATTCTTCAAATAGGAGGGTGTAATACAAGTAAATTCCTTCCCATGTAAGACTCCTTCCCAGATAAGGCAAGGTGGAACCTTCCATTCTCCACCCAGTTCTGGGTCCCAGAGGAGACAGACAGCAACCGGCTGGCGAGTGAGAAGCCTTTAATGAAAGGAATTGCAGACCTGGTTTGCAACTCTTGCGCCCTTGATGGGAATGTGGAGAGGGAAGAAAACGGGGTTCAGGGCAAGTTGGGTGAAAGGGCGTGTCTGGCACAGTGGAGGGGAAGGGCGCCGCTTTCTGGGGCTGTCTGTTCAGCTGTTCTCCCAGAAGAAGTTGTTACAGGCCACAGTGAGGGCGGCCACCAGCACCACATACTCCTGGAAGTCCACCTCCCCGTCTCCATTCTCGTCTAGCTCCTTCATCACCTTGTCCACAGCATCTGCATCCTTCTGGGCCTGCCAAAGAAGGAGAGGGAGAGGAGAGTGGATAAAAAGTATAGGGCCCTACCACTGAGTCAGGGAAAAGAAGGTAGTTGACAGAGAATAAAGGAGAGAGGGATGATTGAAGGGAGAACTACATCTAGTGGGCCTTCTGCTTCCCTTTTCAAAAGTAGTCAACAGTCATGGACTAGTTGTCTAGCGAATAAATTCCTTAACATGGCAGAGGGACAATATTAACATCAATTGCCAAATGCACAATGCTTATAAAGAGTCAGGCACAATACTCAGTGTTAATAAACATCATCTAATTTAAATTATGAGGCTCCATCTCACATACTTTGGGAACAAGGCCAGGAGGGACCAGTCCTTGGGGAAGGACATCATACTTGGAAGGGTAGAAGGACAGTGCAAGAGGGGAAGACCCCAGATGAGATGGATTGACACAGTGACTGTGGTAATGGGAAAAAAGTAAGATTGGCTCAGGACAGGGCAGGGTTCAGAGCTGTTGTGCATAGGGTCACTATAAGTCACAGGTGACTTGATGGCACATAACAACAACAATCTTAAATATAAGAAAATATGAGCCTCCAATGGGTTTCTGAGGCTGTAAATTTCACAGGAGAGTACCCATTTTCTCTAAAGAAGTTGCTTGTGAATTGAAACTGCCAGAGAGGCCTTTGTATTAGCAGTGTAACTCCCTGTCAACTAGGCCATTGCAGCTCCCCTGATTTAAATAGAAGAAAATCTGTGCTGTCAAGCTGGAACTGACTCATAACTAACCATTTAGTACTTTTTCAGAGGCAGCAAATCACAACAGGAGGAGAGTGCCCCTATCTTCCCCCAAGAAGCAGCTGGTGAGTTTGAACCAATTGCCTTTGGGTTTGCATCATACCTCCTTACCCAGTAGGCCACCAGTGGGCCTCCCTTTTCATTATTATTCTTTTAAAAGTAATGAATTGCCAGTTCATGGTTAAGCAATGTGCCCCAAGTCACACAGTTACAAAGTGGTGGGGTTGGAATTGGAACCCAGGTCTAAGTAAATATCAAAACCTGTGCACTCTCTACTGTAACCTGAGGCTTCTCCTTTACTCTGTGACCCCTGTTAGTATTTGCAGCCTAATTATCTGTATCTTTTACTCCACCCATATTAAACTACTGAGCATAGTCTATCCTTTTTTCTCTCTCATGTTTTTGTTCATGCTGCTGTCTTCTCCTGAAATACCGACTTACTTAAATCCACCGTCATCAAGATGAATGCAACTCATTGCATTTACCCCAATTATATTCCAGTGGAAATTCATGGCTCAAATGTCACCTCTCTGGAGAAGCTAGCTCACTCCAATCAGGTTACTACTCTCCTAGAAACCTTTCGGAAATTCAGTTTAAGGTTCTGTACATTTCCAGAAGTTAGGGTTACCTTTCAGATGTCAGTCTTTCCTTTCGACACTGTGAACCTGCCTAGCTATTGATATATACACGGGGTCTAGCACTCAACAAGGGAGCTCTGGTGGCCTAGTGGCAAGAAGCTAAGTTGCAATCCCAAAGGCATGCGGATCGAGGCCACCAGCTGCTGTGCAGGAGAAGGATGGGCAGTCTACTCCTGTGCAATGAAATACCTCTGAAAACCCACCAAAGGGTCAGCTATGGGTTGTTTCTAACTCTGGTGTGCAGTAACAACAGCACTCAACAGGTGCTCCATAAACAAGGGCATCTGGGCCTAAGCCAGGGAAAGTGGAAGAGAGATCCAGAAGAAAAGCTTGGGAGGGCAGGGTGAGGGTTGGCTGAGCTGGGGATGCGGATGGAGATGACAGGGACAGGCCCACCCCCTCATCCACTCCACCCTCGACCTCCACTCCCCGCTCACGTCCAGGAAGCCCGAGAGCTCAGACTGCAGCAGTTCTTTCAGCTCTTTCTTGCTCAGCTTGTACTTGTCCCCCTCCTTTCCCGAGTGGGTGTGGAACACGTTGATGAGGGTCTCCATTGCAGTCTCGAGCTCAGAGCCCATTTCAGCAGCTTACCTACCCCTACAAAGGATGGAAATAGCAGAGGAAGTGAACTCTGGGGCTGCGGTGAGGGGTGCTCTGGCAAAATTTTTGCAATATTTGGAGAAATCCAAACAAACCTAAATCCAGACCAACGGGAGCCAGGATTTAGTCATGGACATATGGGTAGATGGAGCTGGGCTGGCCCTGGAGTGATGCCAGGAGGGAGTCCTGGCCGCCAGGGCAGGGACTGAGGAAGGTGGGGCAGAAGTGGTCACAGGATGTCACCAGACTCTATTTTTACCCTGGACCTTGCCTGCCCAGCACAGCTAAGTTCTGTTGTTGGAGGTGGTGGGCTGGGGTCTCCTTCACAATCTTGACTACTCTACTCACCCCTAGCTAGTGTGATGCCCTCTGCAGAGAGGGGTAGCAACCAGAGTAGGTGGTCCAGGACTTCCTGAGGACTTCTCTGCCACCAAGCTCTCTGTCAGCAACCTAGGGACCCATTGGGCCTTCAACTCCGTTATCTCCTGAATATGGCATTGTGGCTTCCATTACCTCCAGCTTGGCTCTTCTCACTTCTCTGCAGAACCAGCCCTTCCTTCAGGCGAGTAGTGGGGAGAGACCCTTAACCCTAATCCCTGGAGCCAGGGCTTCCACAGTGGTGATAGACCTATAGGGCCTTGTCCCAGATACTTTCTAAACCCTTCTTCCCCCAGCCCCAATCTGGCCACTGAGGACCCTGAGGAATTCCAGAAAGGTTTATAGAGGGAATGAGGGCGTATGTGTTGGAGGAGATAAAAGACTGAATGTGAGAAGTCTTTTGAGTTCAAGGGGCTGGAATGGAGGAGAAGAATAGAGGGGTCTGTTGAGGTGCCTGCCGAGAGAGGGGGGCCCTCTTTTCCCTTGGCCCTGGGACAATGTGGCCCTCCATGATCTCAGAGGGCAGCTCAGGTGTCTCAGATTAGGTGTCCCCCATCCTTCCCTGGGCCTGGGAGACTGGACAATGGGCCCTGATCAGATGACATCCCAGCTCTTCAATGGAACCCTTGTCAGTGTCACCTGAACTCCGGACATGAGAAGTGGTTGTCACAGAGACACAGGGGGAGATGGAACCCAATCTGGGCCTGATGGAGGGGATAAGGGGCATGTGAGGGGGGGTGCTGGGGCTCAGTTACCTGTCTCTTTCAGAAGGGCCACCAGGAGGTTGCCTGGAGTCCTTGAACCCCCTGGGGTTTTGCGGGGTGGGGGCGCAGTACTGTGAGGACCTGGTTGCAGGGGTCGGATAGGGTGGGGTGGAGGTGAGGAGTGCGTGGGTGGGTGGACAGACAGGGCAGATGGAAAAACAAAGAGGAAAGGAATGGAGAAATAGGAATCTGGAGGTCTGGGCCAAGAAAGAGGAAGAGACAGGGAGGTCATGTGAAGGTAGATTTGGGGGTGGGCAGTGCCCCCTCGATCTGATATCGTCTATGCTCTGCCACCCCCGGATTTCCCCGGGACCAGGGCTCTTGGCACGGCTGGGTGTGGGTGGCAGAGGCTGAGGCTGGTGGGGGAAGTACAGGCAGGGCAGGCAGAAACAGCTGTTCTGTTTGCTCCCTTATTCTTACCTCACTGGAAGCAAGGCAAGGGCTGGGTCCCCATCCATGCGCCTCACAGGTTGAGGGAGGCCTGGAGGCGACTTGTAGGCTCTTTGCTACGAGTCTCCAGGAAGTTTGGTGTCTGCCAGGTTCCCCACAGGCTCCCTCGCCACCTGAGCTGCCAGATCTCCTGACCTTCACTTGCCTCCCCTCACCACTTTCTTGACCTTGTCTTTCCCAAAACCCAGACTGCCCCCTCTCCTCCCAGACCCTCTCTCATTCACAGTACTATAATTCTCAAGACTCTCCCAGGGTAGAGGGAGCCTTCAGAAGACCCTATCCCCCCAGTGGGCAGGGTAAGGCTCTTGCCCAGGTGAGGCAGGATACTCACTGTCGGCCTGGGCCTGAGATGGGAGCAGGTTCTGGACAGTCAGATGAGCCTGCAAATGTGGCTACCGGAGCTGTGTGAGGAGACCTGTCTTTAGTTGTCCCCCCCCCCCCCCCGGCTCCACCCCTTCACAGACACCCAGCGGGGCAAGGGGCCAGGAGTGGACAGAGGCGCCCTCTGTCTCCTGGGCTGGAACAGACTGCCTTGTGTCCTCCTCCAGAGCCTTGGTCACCCCCACCCCCCGTACCTCTCCTTTGCTCGGCACCAGCATGGCCAGGGGGCATGGGAAGGAGGCCTTGGGAGGGACCTGGGTGTCTTATCTCCAGCTCAGCTGGCCAGTCCCTGCAGCTGGCTGTGCCCTGCTGCATGGGAAAGGGCAGGATTCTCCTGAAGGGATTTTTAGCCTTGGGGTTTCTCCATAGAGACTCACTGGGGCGGTGGAGGGGAGGTGTGGTGGTGATCCCTGAGTGACTAACTTTATCCCGGGAGTGGGCTTGAGGGGTTTCAGTTTGAGAACCTCAGTTGAAGGATTGTAGCTCAGGGGCTCCACCATGGGATTCTTAGCCTTCAAGACTTTTTGTGTGTGGACACACAGAGATCCACTTAGGGGGTCTTGGTTTCTGAGTTCTGCTACCTTCTGTGACATTTCTAAGAGTTCGAGTCTGATAGCGCTGAGCTCCCCTGGTTGGTTCTCCGAGTCAGCAGCCGCCTCTCTCCCTAGGCAGACACATTCCTGAGGATTAGATGTTGGGTGACAGGGGCAGCAGGCTCCTTGGATTGGGAGGGACAGAACGCCTGCGGAGCGGGATCTCTCCAGGCGACTCCCGGCCTGTCCTCGCGTCCTCTTCCAAGTGGGGGCGCTGTGGGGCTAGTTTGGGGGGGGGGCCCGGCTTCCAAGCCTGACGGCGGCTGGAGGGCGTGTTTGGGCGGAACCCTTTCTTCCAAATCAACTACTGGAAACTCGATATCTCCGGGCTGGGGAGCCGCTTCCTCCGCCTCCACTGGGCGCTTATAAACCTCAGCCTAGCGGCTCCCGCGCGCTGCATCCTATCGCCTTGCCCCGGTGAGTGGTGGTCCTCTGAACCTGCAGGGCACTGCCTGAAGACCCCCTTTCCATCTCAGGCTCCTAGGTTCTTTACTCCGACCCCGCTCAGCTAGAGATTTAGAAAGTGGTTTTAGGAGATCACGTCACAGCAGAGAGGGTGGGGAGGGGGACAGCGACTGGACGCGTCCCCTTTCTCCAGCCCAAGCAGCCTCCTAAGTGCCCGGGGGACTGTGAGTGCTCAAATCTCGCTCCATCTGGGGTCACAGGGCGTCAAGCCCTGGAGTCCCGTCTAGGACCCCAGAAACCCGGGAACGGAGAGGGGAGGGTCTGTGGGAGGCTGGGCGGGGAACGAAGGAGACGGGTCTGCCCAGACCGAGCCAGCCAGCCCGCCCGAGCGACCGCAGCTGGGCATCTGCCAGACCCTCGGCTTCCCCTCAGGGAAGAGTGGCGAGCGTGTGGGCGGGAAGGCGGGTGGAGACCTAGGTCTGAACACAAACAAACTTCAGGCGCAACCAAGCTCATGACCTTTTGAAGCGGGGTGAGACTTCAGAGAGGCCCTTTTGGGACTGAAATCCCATAGAGGGGTTGCTAGACTTGAGAACACTCCAAAGAGGGACCCCTTCCCGCCACCCTCCACCAGTCTGAGAACTTACGGTTAGAGGACACAGTAGAATACACCCCAATCCTCGGGACCACCACAGAGGGGGTCTCAGACACACATCAAAAAGGACTCAGACTTCTACAGAAGGTGAGGTGACTGCAACTGAAAGTGCACTTCCTGCCCCACCTACACTAGCAGGGGGACCGCTGATCTCCAGCCCCTTCCCTTTCCTCTATAATTTTCCCACCACAAGAACCTTGAGGTGGCAAAACCAGGGTAGGGAACTCTGGCCAGTGCTGGCTCCCCGGGCTCCCTGACTTTCCCTTCCTGCGCTTTCGCCTCCTGCAGGTCAGCACCTCAGGTTCTCCGCTACAACTGTGGGGTCCTCATGGCAGCAGAGCCGCTTACTGAGCTGGAAATGGCCATTGAGACGGTGGTTACCACCTTTTTCACCTTCTCAGTGCAGGAGGGCAAGAAGGGCAGCCTCAGCTTCAATGAGTTTAAGGAACTGGTCACTCAGCAGTTGCCTAACCTGCTCAAGGTAGGTGGGGTTGAGATTTTGTGATACAGTGTCGGACAGCTGTGTCTTTGTGGGGATGATCATGTGATTGGTCAGGATAGTGTGACCACGGGTGTGATTGTAGGGATTCTGCTGCAGCATAAATGGTTCTGAGTTTTCTTACCTGGTGTGTGTGTGTGTGTGTGTGTCACACACACACACACACACACACACACACACACACACACCCACAGAAGGATGAGAAAGAGAAACTAAATGCAAGTGAAAGTTTGATGGGCCTTTGTACCCCCATTACATCATGCTCTTGGGCTCCTCTCTTATGTCCTTAATGGGCCTATTTAGTCTCGTTTTCCAATACAAGACTGATCCTAGAACTGGTTTCCAGGCAATTAACAGTCCACCAGAGCTAAAGGAAGCCAAGACAAAAACCAGGATCAACTGTCTCCCTTCACATATGTGGTGAGGTCCAGTGGTGTGAAGAGGCTGGTCAAAAATGAAAACTCAGTCATGCTGATGGAGTTACAGGAATTCAGTGTAGGAGGGACTTGTAAGAAGCATCTGTGGTCCCTTTCCATCCACTGTGGGAATCCCCTCAACAGTGTGGCTCCAGGGGCCATTCCATTTCTTTTACTAACAGGAGGGAGTCAGGGCTTAAATTTCATGGCCTCTCTGTTGGTATACCATCATTTCAGGCTGCTCAGTGTGTTATGCATCCTTTCTGAAAATTCCTAGGCATATAAAAGTAGGTGACTTATAGAGGTTTTATTATAAAAACAAAAACAACCAAACCCTAAACCATAAATGAATATATGAAACTCAGTGTGAAACTTGTCTGAAAAATCACTTCCATCCTTAGACGTTTCACTGTTGTACCTCATCTTCTCACTGAAAATCTAACTTTCCTCTGAAGGCCTTTCCCCTCCCCTGCTGCCTTCTATCACAAGCTCCCTTTGGGCGAGGAAATGCAGGAGGGTAGGCGGCTGAACTCGGCTTTTCTTTTTTTTTTTAATTTTTGTTTATTTATTTTTTGTGTGTGTGTATGTGTGTGTGTGTGTGCCGTCAAATCGGATCTGACTGGTACAGGAGGAGATTGTTCCTCCTTCTTCAGCAGAGCATCTGGTGGATTTGAACCGCGCACCTCTGGGACTGCAGTGCAGTTTCCTGCCACTAGGCCACCAGAGCTCGCCTGAACTCTGCTTTTCAATGCTCCTTCCACATCTTGAGTTTTTCCTTTCTAAACACCATCACTCTTTGGAAGCACATACACTACTGCTACCTAATCATAACCGTCCAGTCCCTCACTTCCTGGTCCTTTTCCCATGATTGCGTCCATCAGTGGCCCTTCTGTCAGTGGTTCTCTGTGGCCTCAGCATTCTCACAGGCCACTCACTCAAAACCTGGGCTTTTCCATTTCTTGAATTCCTCACTCTCAATGATTCTGCCCATCCCCATCTCAGTATTCTGCTTCTCTATTCATACTTTAGACCTTGTCATTACCCAAAAATGCCTCACCTCCAAGTCTTAATTTCAAAGATTCTTTTCTCTAACTACCACCTCTTGACTTTGCAAATCTGTCCTGCTATCTTGTTCTTCCACCCAGTGTTTCCATTATTCGACTGGCCCTCTAATCTCTTCACCCTTTTCTCATCTTTCATCATCATCCCTTGGGTCATGTCCTTATTTCCTTCTTACTCAACTCTGGTTCTAAAGTTCATTTTTATAATCACTCCTTTAACTCCTTGACTTCTGCCTCTTTCTGTTCTTGTCTGGCAGAACCCTCACAAGCCTGTTGCCCTCCTAAGTTGAGTCTGATGCATGAGACTTCCATATGGTGCAGAGCACAACTATCGCGCCCTAAGATATTTTTAGATAGCAGATAGTAGGTTTATGGAAGCAGATTGCTAGGCCTTTATTCCATGGTGCCAATCGTGGGTTTGAATTGCCAACCTTTAGGGTAGTAGTTAAGTGCCAGTTGCTTCTGCCAGGCAGGTTAAACCCAACATTCTACCTATATTAGCTTCATGGTTCAGCTGCTGGTTAGAGCTCTTGTTCTGCATCTGCATTCAGAGCTGAGTCAAGTTGGCGAGAAAACACACAAGCCGTGCTGTCTCCCTCTATATCTCTAACCACTAACTCCAGGGAGACTCTTTGCAGTTCTATGACATTTTCTTAGTGGTGTCATTTACCAGTTCTTTCAGGTGGTTATTTCACAACTGTTCTTCTAGTACCTCTCCCTACAATTTTTCTCTTTCAGTTGATGCTTTGCTTCTTAGTTGATGGAGAAGATAGTAGCAGTCAGGACACTTCTGTGTGCTTACTCTCCAAAATCTACCTCTTGATCAGCACATTCTCTGCCTCCCTCCCTTCTCCTGTGAATCATCTGCCACTGTTCCTAAGGTGAAGCATCCACTGGGGCCCTAGACCCCATCCTTTCTCACCAACTGAAAGCGTTTATCCTTGCAGTTACTCTCCCACTGGCTCTCATGTCTTCAAATTATTTCTCTCATATTACGATGGGAAAGTCTGCTGTTAGGAACCTCTCTGAAGTACTCAAGAGCAACGGTGCCTCTCTGGAGACTAAGGTGTGCCTGATACAGGCCATGGTCTTTGCAATCACTTGTTATGCATCAGAGAGTTGGACAATGACTAGGGAGGACAGAAGGAGAATTGATGCCTGTGAGCTGTGGTGCTGGAGAAGAGTATTGAATGCACCATAGACTGCCAAGAAACCAAACAGATTGATCCTGAGAGGGTTAAACCAGGCTACTCCTTGGAGACAAGGATGCTGGGGCTTCGTCTGACATACTTTGGATATGTTGTAAGGAGGGACAGGTCCTTGGAGAAGGGCATCATGCTTGGGAGGGTGGAGGGACAGCGCAGGAGGGG